TTTTTGAGACAGGGTCTCACTATGTAGCTCAGGCTGGCCTTGAATTCACAGCGATCCTCCTGCCTTAGCCTCTGAAGAGCTAGATCACAGTTGTGCGCCATTCATCCACGCTGATGGATTTGCAGCAGTCCTGTGGAGTCAGCTGGGGCAGGGGGAAGAGCGGAACCATTTTTGCAGATGAGACTGGGGGAAGAGGCTCCGCAAAGGTCAAGTAAGTTGTCAGAGCTACTCAGCTTTAAATGACAGAGCTGAGTTCAAATCCAAGTCTTCTGTTTTTATGTTGATGCCCGTGGCTTCTTTACATACTCATTGCAGAGCTCCTGACGTTTGAGCTAGATAATTCTTTACTGTGGGAGCTGTTCTACAGGTTACAGGATGGTTTGTCTGTTTTGCCGGGCTGGAGTTGAACCCAGGGCCTAGTGTGTGCCAGGCCAGTGCTCTACCACTGAGCTACACCTCCAGCCTTGGACTGTAGGGTGGGTGGTAGCATCCTTGGCCTCTACCCACTAGATGCCAGTAGCACTCCATCCTGGCTGTGACAACCACAGATTCCTAAATATTGCCAAGTCATCCCTCACTGAGAACCACTGCCTTACAGCCATTGCATGAAAGGGAGAACTCACACAATTTCTGTTCAGATTTTGCACTCTTTGGATGTAATTTCAGAAGTAAAAGTTTCTTTTTGTTCTCTAGGTTGTCAAGGAAGCAAAGGAACTAGGCTAAATGTCAGTCCCACAATACCTTCACCACCCTCTAAAAAAACTTACATTAATTAATACCATCTGCTGTCTGGGTTGTATTGAAATTTCTCTAGTTATCCCCAAAATATCTTTCATAGCTGTCTATATTTTTTACCTCTTCCATCTAGGATCCAGCCTAGCTTCTCAGACTGCACTGGTTGCTAGCTATTTAATCTCTAGGAAAACTATGTCCCAAGGGCCAATTTGGCCCACTACCTGTTTCTTTTTCTTTTTGTTGAGTTTATTTTTTAAGTATACAGTACAGTTACATGCATCATTGGGATCTTGTACTTTACATGACAGGTCTTGGTTCTCATTTTTTCCCATACCCCTGCCCTCCCCTCACCCCTTCCTCCCTCCTCTATTTACAAAGACTTTGTTTCCATTTTTTCCTTTCCTTATATTTTTTCTTGTCCTATACTACCTTTCCCCTAACTTTCCTACTTCCCTACACCTTTAGCCCTTTTCTTCCTATTTCACATTATGAGTTATACAATTTGTACCACCTGTTTCTGTAAGTAGATTTTTTTCCCCCACCCCTCTGGAATTCAGCCATGCTCAATCACTTATATAGTGTTGCCAGCTGTGTTCATGCTACAACCATGGACTTGAGTAACTACCACAGAAACTGATCCACAAAGCCTAGAAGAGTTACTTCCTGACAGAAAGTTTGCTGACCCACGACTTAATATCCTGCTTGCTGCCTGTCTTTGTTTTTATTTTTAGTGACGCTGGGGATTGAAGTCAGAGTCTTATGAATGCTAGGCAAGCGCTCTATTCTTGAGCTACACCTGCAGCCCCAATCTCTTCTTTTAGATTGGCCTGATTATATACATTATATATTAATTGTTCATTGAAAATTTAATACTATATACATGTATTTTAAAGTAGAAAATATATATGAAATTATTGATGCTCTTTGGAGTGGAGGTATAGAACTTTTTACCTGTCAAAAACCATAAATAAAATCAAAAGATAAATGATACATCGGGAAAACAATGACATTACCACAGTGTTGTGTCTTCCCATATTTATTTTTCAGGAAGAGGAGCAAAAGAATGTCATGTCTAACATCTGACAGATGATTTTAGTTGCAGATGGGGGTAAAATCCTCACTGATCAAGTTTCCATATCATTTAAATAGAAAAACTGGTAGGAAAACTAGGGCCCTCCGTTAGAAAGTCAAAACTTATGATCCTAAATCTGTGATCTAGAGTGTGCAGAAATTCAGGTATATACCCAAGTGCCCACTCTGAATGCAGGGCCATGTACCTAGCACCCGCTCTGGTATAGTGAAAGCACTAAATAAATGCCCATGGGTAAACGAGGGAGTATCATTCCTTCACTCAGCTGGGCAGGGCAGGTTGTCCCCATCACACATGTTTTATCAGATTAGCATCGTTTTCTGAGTATAACAAGTTTGCACATCGGACAGAAGGGTCAGGCCTCTGCCTCTTCTGCACGAAATGGGATTCGGCTGGCCTGGAACCTACTCTTCAGGCCAGGACTACACTGGTGTTATGCATACAGTTATATGGACAGCTAGAAAGTGCCCAGCCTCTCCTCCCACTTAACCTGGGTCAGAGTCTGAGGCACAGTCCTTCTCCCTACTCTTGGGGGGTAGGATGTCTATGCTACTGCTCACCTACAATGTTATCCATGAATTGCAACAGGAAAGGAAGCACTGCTAAGTTGTCTTATCACTTCTCTAAAGTGTGATTTAATTCAACCTCCCTAAATCAGGTATATATTTTATAATAATCTTCAGAAAAAAGCTAACAGTGATCTGCTCCTGTACAGTTCACATGAACAGCACTGAAGAGTGGAGTGCTGACAGAAATAAGGCTGAAGACTTAAAGAATTCGTGCGTGGTCCTTGAGCAGTGGGTTCTTCTCCTGGTTTCCCGGGAAGAACACGGCCTTTGTGTAGTTGAGGATGACTTGTAGGCCTTTGCTTTTGACCACCTTCTCAGTACTGCTTTTAATTGGTTTGTATTCCTTGTGTTTTCTGAAAACAATGTGTTGGACAGTTATTAAAAAAAAGATCTTCAGCTGAAACAAATTACTTTCTACAGTCCTTCTCATGTCAGGTTCAAAGGTTTAATTCCATTTAGCCTAATCTATGGCTTGTAACATGCTGGCATCTTTTAAGAATGTAGTTACTTTCTTCTTCATGCAAGAAATGTGTCTCCTCCTTATGATTTAAGATTGTATGTTAGATAGTACATAGACACGATTTCAAAAAGCTACTGACATCTGGTAGCATTTTAGGATTTAAAAAAACCTAGCAAAATTATCAGACTAATTTGGCATTCATTGTTTGATAGAAGACTTTCTTCTAATACACAAAATGTTTTAAAGAAAAAAAGGAAAATGGCATATTTGCACAGAAATATGGTATTTACTTTTGACCGCACACTACAGAGACAAAGCGTTTAAATCAGAAACTTACTTGTAAACCAGGATGGTGATCACGGTGACAATGATGGCCAAGCAGCCACCAGAGATCAGGGCAGCACTTATCCTGAAAGGGGAGGCTGGCTCTAGAAACAGAAGCAAGACCGTGTTAGTTATGTCGTTCACTTAGAGGACACGCTGCTTGTAATGCCATTAAGTCAATGAGGGAGGGAGCTATCGCAGAAGATGTGTGGCTGCTCCCTCTGGGCTTTCGGTAACCGTTTCCATTACATAATACAGTCTCTGGGTCAGCTTATCTCTCACTCAGAGAGTGAGTTAGCGTGTCTGGAACACCGTGCTAAGGGATCAGGGAGAGTCACCGCCTGGGGACACCTGCTTAGGTCTCCAAGGAGCCAGCAGTACCCCGGTGCTGCTGGGCTTCTGTGATCCGCCGTGCATAACTCAGGCCTCATCTCTCACTTCCTACCTTCCCGCTGTGCTAAACATCCTGCGAGTCGCCTCTGCTCTTTAACCCCCGTCTTCTGCGGGGTGCCCTTACCCTGGCTCGTGGCAGGTCTCCTCTTTCATGCTGCCTCCCAAGGAGGTCATGAGGCCATGCTTTCCTTTGTTACCAGTGTACTTTGTCCTTCCGTGTCTGGATCACATTGTGGTGCCTTCCTGCCTGCCTTCTTTTCTTCCTCCCTCCTTCCTTGCTTTTTTTTTTGGTGGTACTAGGGATTGACCCCAAGACCACATATGCTCTACCACTGACTTACCTCCATCCCTTATTAGAATTTCTTTAAAATTTTATTTGGGATCAGGGTCTTATAGCTGGCCTGGAGCTGGTAATCCTCACACCCCAGCCTCTCAAGTACCGGGGCTTACAGGTGTGTTCCACCACACCTGCCCACCATTATTACTTTACATGTATTTCTCTCCTACTACGCTATGAAAGCCACAGATTGTTTTTTTTTTTTTTCTTCTCCTGCAACCCAGCAAATCAATCAGTTCTGTCTCTACCCCAAAGTATAACAGCTTACCTACTTTTCCCTCAAAGCCTCTGCCACTTGTCACTAGGGCCCTCTTAATTGTTTACTTGTATTCACTCTCACCTGCCAACAGTCTTCCCTACACTGTGCAGCTGGAGCAATCTCCTGAGAGCATCAAACAGATCACACTTCTAACCAGCCGGTGGCTCCCCTTACTCACAGGAGAAAGTCCAGGCCTGAGGATCTACACGGGCCTTTCATTCTCGCAGTGCAGGTCTCGGCTCAGAGACGCCCCTTCACTGAGAAGCGCCACCGGGTCGGCCGGGCTTCTCCCAGCCAGAGAGCTGACTCCTCCGCCATGTGTCCCTCCGCCACGCTCACCACTCTCCAGCCCTGGCCTGGTGTTATTTTCTTCGCAATTCTATCTTGTTTGTTTATTGCCTGTGCTAAATTGAACGAGGAGGAAGCTGTTGTCCTAAGGCTATTGAAGTATCCTGAATCCCTACCAAAATAACTGCAATCTTAATAGTTAAGTAAATTGAAACCTTATTTAGGAAAATATTTTGTAGCCGATCATAGGTAGCTGATTGATGGGCACTTTGAACAAATGAGGCCACCGCCTCACTGCAGCCATTCGAGAGATTTCGCTACTTGGCATCCTGGGCAGCACATGAAAGCCACAGCTCAGTAGTGGAGCTCTGTGAGCCTTATTTGGCTCTTGACTATTGCTCAGTTTGGTGCCTAAACTGTCTGATGGATATTGTGATTTATGCCTGTAATCCCAGCACTCTAGGAGGCTGAGTCAGGAGGATTGACTGAGCCCAGCTAGGCAACTTAATAACTTCATGAGATAAGACACTGTCTCAAATAAACAAATAGGCTGGGGATATAACTTATTGTAAAAGTCCTGGGTTCAGTCCCCAGTACCACACGCACACACACACACACACACACACACACACACACA